TTTCCCTCTCTGCCTCCCAGGCCGTGGCCCTATACGACGCTCGAGCGGGGATACGACTTGGTCACAGGAGAGCAGGCGCCGGAGAAGATACTCAGGTGAGTCACAGGAGTGTTCAGCTTGGACATCGGGGAGGGGAGCACTGGTGAGGACGTCTCAGCAGATGCTACCTCTTGGTCACTCCTGGCTCCATCTTGTGCTGGCTGGAGAACACGAGTGTCGGCCTGTGACAGACCTGAAATATTTGTCCACATTCTGTGGATGGGGAAGGGTTTCCCTCTTGTCCCCTTGGCCAGACATGATTCAGCAATACTGAGGATGGTGCACACAGAAAGTCCCCCGTAACTAAAAAGGAGAGTGTGACCATCCCTGTGTTCTCCCTGTTGTACCTCTAGCTGTTCCTTCTCTCATTTGGCTTTCAAGACAGGACTAAACAACTAAGATGTCCCACAGTGCCACCACTGCTCTGACTTCCAGGCAGTCAGGGGCAATAGAGGGCCACCGTTCGCTGTGGACACTGTTCCTGTGTGATACGTTTGTCCTTCTTCCAGGTCCACCTATAGTCTGGGTCAAGGCCTGTGGCTGCCTGTCAGTAAGAGCTTCGTGGTCCCCCCTGTGGAGCTTTCCATCAATCCTCTCGCCAGCTGCAAGACAGATGTTCTGGTGACGGAAGATCCAGCAGATGTCAGGTAGGAAGCAGATTTCTCGTCTTCCTCAGGCTTGAGTGACTACACTGCTCTCTAAATTGTTATTGAAGATATAGTAATTTCTATGATCATAAGTTTGATTAATTTTCTTCCAATAAGAAATATGATGTGATAGCTCTCCAGGCTCTTTTGGTCTTGATGAGTCTAGGCCAGGCCTGTGCATATAGCTCTGAAGTCTGCCACTCGAGTTAGGTAAATTGGTATGAACCTGTGGCAAGGCAATTTTGAAGTGGCTTAAATCTAATGTTAGATTGAATAGTTTGAACTGATGCGTTTACCAGAATGGATGTGCTATCATCTTTCAGAAACTCATGCGTGTATCACATTGACGAAGCACTTGAAAGTCTGCTGTGGTGCTCACGAAGGGCCAAGATCAGACACTGGTGAAAGACCATGTTGCTTGTCCAATTATTAGACAGTTAAAGGGGTTTTTTCCTTCCTTGAGTTCAGTGAATGCTTGGATATTCCTCTGGCTCTCCCATTTTGGCTAGCTTGTATGTTAACCAGATGTCATTGGATATGTGACAGTCTAGTTCAGAAGTGGGAGCTGAGAGAGCATTGCAGGAGGAGAATTGTCCTGGTGGAAGGAGAGGCTGTTTGCTGGGAGAGCGGGCTGAGGGTGGGCAAAGGGGGGGGTCTCCTGGAAAAGGAGCCAGGCAGGATGGTTGTCCTCTGTGCCCCAGCTGGAAAGGGAGCAGCAGCCTCTGCCTGGGAGGAGAATGATGCTGGTGGTTGTCCTCCTCTGCCTGCTTTACAAGTGTTGAGCTGTAAACTACAGAAGTTTAACTGTTTAATTCCTAAGGTATTTAGCGTGTGTTCCCCTCTCCTCCATTAAATTAAGACTGAGCATGTGATTGTTGAGTGCCAGGGAGACTCCCTGATCCCTCCCTCCATCACTCCCTTCTCGCTGCCTTCTCCTGTTGACTCAAGACATGATTTCCTCACCTGCAAATTCTTTTCTGTGTTGCAAATCATCTTCTGGGCATGAGCAGGATTCTCGTGTCTCCCAGGCCCTTCTGTCTTGTCTTTTCCCAGAGTGATGGGATGGTGGATTTCCGTTCTTCTGTCCCATCATCATGAGTCTTGGCAGGGCTATGCTTGGAGCAAGTGCCTACAAAACCCATGGCAAAGCCAGGACTAGCATCCAAGCGGTCCTCGCTTCCAAGTGTGTTTTTGTTGCTAATTAGTGCCTGTTCCCTCTCCTCCAAAAAGAGACTGATGGTACATATCTATCACAATTTGGCTCTCTTAGAAGTGTTGTTTTTCTTGTCTGCACAAGACTATTGCTTTTCATTTGAGAAGGTGAAGGGTTGCCTTGTTGTGTGTTAACATTTTTCAAGCCAAAATGCCGGGAGAACGTTATTTCTTCCTTGCCTGCTCGCAGCTTCGTTAAAAGTACCTTAGTGAAAGTAGAGGCTAGGAAGCTTGCTCTCTGCTCCGGTGCAGTAACTGTCTCTGGGCACTGATCCTCATGGAGCAGTCTCGGTCGGGATGGGTGAATGCCAGGCAGGAGGAGGGGAGTTCCCAGCACGGAGGCTGTTGCCTGCTCCCCTCTTAAAATGGAACCCGAACTGAGAAGTCTGGGTATAAATATTGGAGAGACCCAGGTAGAATAAAGGAGGCGAGTTCATGGCGCTTGTATCTTACTTACGGGAGGTGCTAAATTATTAAAACTTTAATAAATGTAATAATAAATATTTGATGTTGAATTATGGAAAGTTTCACAGATACAGTGAAAGCCGAAAAGTGATCTTATTATTTCTGCGTGAGAACCTAAACGCTTCTCAAAGGGGGATCAGGCTGCGAGCTCGGATCCCAGGCACCCTGGGGTGGGTGGAAACCGAGGTGGTACAGCCTGAGCGGAGCGTGGTGGTGTGGAGGAGCTAACGCTGGGGCTGCTCAGGTCCACTGCAGTCGGTGAGCTGGGACGTTGCCGTGTTGGTGCTCGCAGGCACCGTGTTGGCCTGTCTCCCAGAGCCTCCTCTGAGGTTCTTGGGTGCTTTCATGCAAGAAGAAAGGTCCTTTAAGAGCAGTTTATCTTGCAACCTCTTTGCTTTATGCCTCTGGACTGACAAGTGTTGGTAGCTTCTCAAGGGAGCAGTAACGCGGCAGTGTTGGTGGTGCGGATGTCCGGATGATGACCCATAATGTCAGACCTACTGTGGGAGGTCAACACATGTTGTCCATGGCATAGGTGTTCCAACACAGCCAGTCCCCTCTGCACAGAGGAGGGGACCGGTTCCCCGGCTGTTGGACAGCAGTGGCACTGCCATCCCCCCGTGCTGGCAGCCCCCGGGGTGGTCCTGTGGGCTCTAACACAGTCACGTCCCTGTGCCAAGGGGCAGCGCCGGGGCTGTCTGACACCGGCTGCAACACGGCTGCGTCGCGGCACCCGGAGTGCCCTGTTTGCTGTCCTGTAACACTGTGATGGTAGCTCAGTCCTGTATTTCTTCTGTGTCCTTAATAACGAGCGTGCTGCATTCCTCCAGACCTTTCATTAGTCTGATGCCTTTTGGCTCTGGGGTCACTTGTCTTGAAGAGTTTAATAGAGGGAAATTGCAGAAAGCCTGGCTTGGAGAAAACAAGTGATGAAGTCTTTACAGCTCAGAGGGTTAAAGGTTCAAATGTGGCCTTGTATTTTTATGAAGACGCTTGAGACTATGGAAGGGACAGAGGGGGTTCTGCCTTTCAGCAGCTCTCTGGAGAAATGCTGACTCCCTGCTGCTTCTCAGGAGGGAGGCCGTTCTCCGTGGGTTTCCCCACTGCTGTGCGCAGTGCTTTGGTGGATGGGAACGAAGGGCCCAAGCTTCCTCCCGCTGCTGCAGCCAAGCCATGGAGAAACTTCCATAGACAGGAGCCAAAGGGCTCCGTGCAAATGTCCCACCAGGGATGCTCCCAGACGTGTTGGGGCACGAGCGGGGACAGGACTTGGCATGCAGAACTTGGTGGTGGAAGTTTTGGGGGCTGTGCATCATAAATTAAGCAGGAGGGTGCTTAGAGTTAATGAAAATCATATGTATAATTTATCAGTAACCATACTGAGCATCCCCTCGACCCCGGTCTGATCCTCCGCACGATGATCACGTTGGTCGCATGTCTGGGCTCGCGGAGCCACGCTAACGGTGACATCTTTGTTCACGTGAGGTTGGCTGGCAGCGCTGCGGGGCTCTGGCTGGGGCTGGAGCCTGGGTCCCAGGCCAGGCAGGCTGCATCCCCTGCCAGGACAAGAAATACCTCCCAGTCCCACGTTGTTTCGCTGGTTTTCAAGACGTCTTGTTGTTCCCTCTCCCTGTTGCTCCCATGCCTCCCCTTATCTGTATTTCTCCATAAGCTAGCGATGAACACAGTAGTCCATATTCATTTTAATAAATCACTGTCAGGTGTTTGATCCTTCTCTGGCCTTCCCTGGACACCTTGCCGTCTCTTTTTGGCCCTTTAGGAGGTACCGCTTGTCCCGTGGGACCGGGAATCGCTGTAATTGTGGCAGCGTACGCTGCTCTGCCCCGTTGACAGCTCACGGGGAGAACCTGCAACCACAGCCCCTGGGTCCTGCCGCGTCAGCACCGAGCACCCGGGGGGGGGAATAACGGGGAGGCAGACGCGGCACTGCCAGACGCCGGTGGTCCTGGTTCACTGTGCCGCCCACTCTGCAGAAAAGTTGATAATTTCTGGTGAGCCGCTATAAATCAGAGGCGCGAGCCTCAGCTGCCGCCTGACATGACATACAGGTCTATTGTTATGGCAACCATAGAAACAAATAAAAGCCTTGCCTTCGCTTGACGAGCCTTTGAGATGTCCTGATGGAGAGACAAGTGTTCAGTGGCAGAATGAATTCTCTTGAACTCGTTGTCGATTCATCTTCGTTTTGCTCCCAAGTGAGCCCCTTTGCTCTCTGAATTCTTCGCCGAAGTACAATCAACTGGATTTTCCATTTTTTTTTATTTGTTTGTTATTTTATTTCCAGTTCTCTCGGCAGCATAGAGCTCTGCTCCCAGCTCTGTGCCCGCGTGTGTCCCATCTCGTGTCGAGGACGGGAGCTGGGCTTTTGTTCCCAGCCAGTGGCTTTCCCCGGCTCAGCCCCGCCGTGCCCTTGCGGCACCACCACCACTGCCCCAGCCTCACAGGGGGTTTGCAGTGAGGTTTTGCACGGATTTTGCAGTGATTTGGGCACTCGTGATTTTGCAAGTCGGTGCCAAGCGCTGCGGCATGAGGCTCCGTGGGAGCGGGTTGGACGAAAAGCGGAGTGGGTGAGAAAGGCAAAGGGAATCTGGGCCAGGAGAGGGGAAACAGCTTTGCCATGGCCACACTGTCACAGCGGCAGCGGAGCTCACCTGCCCGGTGCCTTGGCCTTGTACCTCGTCTGCAGGAGCCAAGGGGTGCTGCTGGGGGCGAGCACTGCAGAGGCTCGGGGAGGTGGGCTGGGCTGGTGCCCAGGGGCAGCGTGCCGCTGGGGCAGAGAGCACCCTGCCAGCTCTTCTGACCATTTAGTGCAGGAGATGCCACGGGAACTTGGCCATTTTTCCCCCCTTTTCTGTCTCCCGGAACAGAGCGGGCTGTGATTTCCGGATGCTGGATGCTGGAGGGACCCTCAGCCAGGAGGTGGGGGGAGAGGGGTAACCCTTTTTTCGGGCTGTTCATCAGCAGGGACCCGGGGAGCTGCCCGCAGAGGCTCTTGCTCGATTGATGCCAATAAAGCGGCCGTGAGCGGCTATCAGCAGGTGCCCGTGACGGATGGGCGGCTGCACGTGATGAGGCAAATTGATCATTGGCACAACTCACTCATTTCTGCAAAGAGGGCAGTTCGTTACCCTGTGATTCACAGGGACGCCGTCGTCGTTCCTGCACATTCCCTGCTGCTCTGGCCTGGGCGTCTTACCACCCCAACACGCTGTCGTCTCGCAAAAAGTGGTGGAGCAGCAGCCTGCAGTGCTTTACACAGGGATGAAGGCAGCCTTTGGCCTCATCTTCTGGAGGGAAAGCAC